TGAGGGCTGGACACAGTGTCTCCTTCCTTCAACTCAAACCGCCACCCCTGCCCCCGGGACAGGTCACCTGTAGTCCCACCCTCCCTCCATGCTTCCCAAAGAACTGGGGTTGGGCCCCTCCAGCCGCGCGCATGCTCCTGCGCCCTGCAAGGCTCAGCCCCAGGGCCGCGCTGGGGGCTGCACCGGCCCTCCCCCCCACTCCTTGGCGGTAAACCCCGGCATCCATCAGTCCGTTAATTGCACTAATTAGGGATCGCGGAGGTGTTAATTGGAAAACCCTGGTATTGTGCCTGTTTGGGGAAGAAACCGTCAATAAAAATTAATTGATGAGCTGGCTGGGCCGGCAGTGCGGGTTCGCAGCGAGGCGCCGGGTGTCATGGCAAATGTTGGGGCTCAGACTAAGCGGTTGTTAATTAAAAAGCTACGGTAATTAATACTCTCTCACACCATATGGGCCCTCGGAAAAAGCACAAAGGTTTCTCCCCGTGCAGGACTCCCCATCCTTTCCCCCTCCCCCCCAAAAGCACCGCGGCCCTCGGGTCCTCCCTTTGGTCCAAGGCAGGTGGACTGGTCACTTCCGCCAGGGAGGGGGCTGGGCGCCCGGAGGAGCTCCAGGCCTTCCCCACGGGGCACCTGACGGGGTTCTTAGAAGGGCCAGTAGCCTCTGGGGAAACGGGAGCCCCCAGCGGCCCGCAGGCTCCCCCAGAGCGGAAGAGGCGGCTGCGGCTTTGACCCAGCTTCCTTCCTTCTGAAGGCCCAGGCCCAAGGCCCCGGGGTGCCCTGGCTCCCGAAGGGGAACCCCGAGAGATGGGAGGCTAGGACCTGCCTAAGGGCAGGAGCAGAGCGCCAGACGGAAACCCTAAGTCACCTGAAGTAGTAACTCCCCTGCAGCCGCTCTTCTCTGCCCCGAGCGTGGTTGCAAGGGGGGTTCTGGGAAGGCTGGGGTGGGGGGTGAGGGCTTCAGTCCTAGAAAGACCTCCTGACCCCCCATACACGCGTTGTGTAAAGGAAGAAAGAACAGCCGCTAACCTGGGAGAGGCAGTGACTTGCCCAGAATCCTACATCAGGCCCCTGGGACCAGGTGGTCTAATCCCCAGGGCGCCTCTCCTTGCTGTGGGTGTCCCGCTGATGCTTGCTGGGGAAATGGGGGCCTGGACAGAGGGGGAAGAGCAGAGTGAAGGGAGGAGGGGACTCCTGGAGGGTGCCCCCCTTACGGGAGCAGGAAGCTCACGTCTGTTCTCGCCTTTTGGGGAAGAGACCACAGCTGTGACTCAGAGGAACCCTCACAGGCTCCTTCCAGCCACCGGATCAGTCTGGCTTCATGTCCATCTGCTGGGCCAGGGAATTTTACTCCTGGAGCTTCCAAGTCAGAAGAGACCTTCAAGACCACCGCTCCCTGTGGGGCTGGGGAAGCGGAGGCCCAGGGAAGGAGGGAGCAGAGGGTGCACAGCTGGCTGTGGCTGAGCGCAGGCCGCCTGGCACCCAGGCCCCTGCCTTCTCCCCTAGCCAGGGTCCAGGTCCTCAGGGACACGCTTCCTCCGCTGCACCCCACATTCTTGTAGTTACAGGGCATGGATATCATGGCTCACCTCCAGCACCCCACCCCACCCCAACCCGAGCAGGCTGGGCCCCAGGCACCCGGAGCCTGCTCACCCACAGCGCAGGGAGCACCCCGGTGCTATTGCAACACCCCGTGGAGGGGTGAGCGGGAGGCACGCGGCCGATGGTGTGCTGTGCTCAGAGGGCGGGCGGGCGGGCGGGCGGGCAGCCCAGGGCAGAGGTGAGGGTTCCGGGCCGGGAGCACCAGCCTTGCAGGTTTCCGCGGGTGTAGGTGGGCCGGCAGCTGGAGCGCCGAGAGAGGTGACGTTCCCAGGAGGGGGCAGAGCGCGCCCCGTGGGAATTAATGCCATTCGTATACCCTGCGGAAATGACTTTTCAGATGCGTATAATCTCAAGCATGCAAATGAGAGGCTTGCTTCACCCTGTTTAATATGAATGATTGGCCCTTGAATAGCTACTATTACACGCCACATTGCAGCAATTACGTTGTTCACTGGGTGTCGCTATCTGCACACACCCCTCCCCCCCCCCCCATAAAAGAGAGAGAGAGAGAGAGAGAGAGAGAGAGAGAGAGAGAGAGAGAGAGAGAAAGAAAGGGACACCTCTGTTTGTGTCCTCTTTACTTTTTCCCCAAACTTGCTGTCTGGCCTACAGCCTGATGGTGTGTGTGTGTGTGTGTGTGTGTGTGTGTGTGTGTGTGAGAATTAAAAGGGGGGCACTCATTCTTACTCCAGGAAAGTAACTGCTGGATTCTCTCTCCTTTCTCCTGTGCACACACACCCCTGAGGCTCTGGGCTTTGTCCCCTGGGGCCCAGGAGTTCTCAGATCTCAGAGGAGCTAAGCTTGGAATCGGGGCAGGCAGCTGCTCTCCACCCCCAGCAGGGCCAGTGTGGGGGGAGAGGGAGACCAGACTATGCCCCTGCTGCCTCCCCACCCCCCTCCCGTAGCGTGGGGGAAGGTGCTCTGGAGGCCGCCGGAGGGATCAGGGTGGGTGGCTGGGGAAGGGGGGCTGGAGCCCTGTGCTCTGGCGGGTGGAGGATGGCGCCCACCCCATCCATCATGTGGCGGCCACTGGCCCTCCGGCTGACACGGCCATTAAGGCCTGAGACCAAGCGCTCAATCTCTTCCGAACCGTCGCCCCCAACCTTGCCCTCCCCCTCGCCCCTGGCCCCGCTCCCTGGGCCCCAAGAGTGGGAGCGGCAGCCGGGGTGGGGGAATCCACCAGAGAAATGTGGGAACACGCAGGGAAATGCACAGACACAGGACACTCGGGCAGCCCAGGTTCCCGTAGGAAGCCACGAAGAGATACCGGGAGTCACAGAGAGAGGAGCTGAAGAGCAGTGAGGTGGCACATGTGAACTGGTGGGCTCCCCTCGGACCCTTACAGCTCTCTGTCCTGCCCCCCAGGACCCTCACTTCCATTGGTTTTGTTTCCGGCAGGGATAAAACGAGCACGTGGCCCAGTAGAGTGAGGGGCGCAAGAGTGAGGAGAGAATTGGGGGGCAGGAGAGAGGTGCTCCTGGGAGCTGCCATTTTAAGAAGGAATTAGGGAAATACTCCAGACTTTTCCAGTAGTTTCTATAACTTGCTACCTGCAAGGCCTCTGGGGTTAGGGACACCATGTGGTGGTGGGGTCTGCTTAGGCCAAAAGGGAATCAAGAAGAGAGAGGAGAACACTGCTGACTTTCCCAGACCCCCTGGACCTCTGTGTGACCTGGGCCAAGCCTGTGACCTCTCTGAGCCTCAGGGTCTCCGCCTTTACAAATAGGGCAGGCGAAGAAGGGGTTGATGGGAGCGTACTCTGCTAGGTGGTTTGTATGTGCTGTTTTATTCCCTCCTTCCAGGACTCCCAAGAAATGGAGTTCTAGGGAGATTAAGACATGTGTGGAAGCCCTGGTTGGGGTGGCTCAGTTGGTTGAATGTCATCCTGTGCACCGTACGATCACCAGTTCAATTTCTGGTCAGGGCACGTGCCCACATTGTGGGTTCAGTCCCCCGATCAGGGTTCATGCAGGAGGCAGGTGATTAGTGCCTTTCTCTGACATTGATGTTTCTCTCTTTCTCCCTTTCCCTTCCTTTCTCTCTCCTCCCTTCCTCTCTCTCTGAAATCAATAAAAACTTCTTTTATTGAAGCCTTAGTCGGTTTGTCTCAAGTGGGTAGAGTATTGGCCTGCGGACCGAAGGGTCCCAGGTTCGATTCTGGTCAAGGGCACATGCCCGGGGTTGTGGGCTCCATCCCTAGTATGGGGCCTGCAGGAGGCAGCCGATCAATGATTCTCTCTCATCATTGATGTTTCTCTCTCTCCCTTCCTCTCTGATATCAATAATAAAAAAGGACATGTTGAAGATCAGTGGTAGATACCAGCCATCTCCTGTTTCACTAAAACCCATGCGCCTCTCAAGCGACATTGGGGGGTAGTCGGATACATCCCAGACTTTGAGAACAGCTCTGCTTGTCCAGGTTCCCCCATCACAGTGTGGGTACAAGCCTCCGAGGCAGTGGGACCTCCACAAGTTGTAGCAGGAAGTCCAGGCCTCCTCCTCCTCCTCCTCTCTGCCCTTGACCCTCTCTCTCTCTGGGAGGCAATAGGAGTGGGGAAAAGAGGGTATGGAATTCAGGCCTTCACCCTTTGCCTCTGCAAATCCCCCAACTCCGGTCCCTCCGTTCTCCCATCTGTCGGGCCAGGATGATGGACACTCTCAGCTTGTGATTGGGCATCACGGTGCCTGTGGAGACAACGTTATTGAGTGTCTCCTTGTGGCCAGACCCTCGCTGGCCAGCCTTGGAAGGGAAGGCGGAGACGTGGACCACGGCTGCCTCCACTGCACAGCTCCGAGCTGAGTCTGGCTCCCAGGAGGCGCTGGGCAAATGGAGCCTTTTTGCTGTGTGGAGGGAATCTCCATGAGAACCTCAGTGCCCTCAGGACAAGACCAGGGAGGCCCCTGCCCTGGGGAACTCCCTGTCTGCAAGCACAGGGGCCATTACAGGTGTTTGTGCAGAGGAGGAAGGAGCATAGTGAGTCCCAGTGAATAGCTCATCTGCTTTTAAGTTCTTGCAGAACCCTCGCCTCCGGCCCCTTCCCCCATGTTCTGGCCTGGAGGGAGAGGCCAGAATAGGCATGGGGGCGGGCTGCCTCACCCCCTAACATGTAGTGGCCTTCTGGAAGTCACGTTGGGAGAAGTTAGGAGAGGAGGCAGCTGCAGCCTGGAGCGGCCCCTTATCCGAACCTAGGAGAAGGGTGACATTGGGAGAGGTTGCACCCCAAAAGAGGTCCCAGGAACAGCCCCCAGAAGGTGGAGGAGGAGATGCCCAGGCCTGGGGTGGGGTGTAAGGTGGGGGTGGTGAGGGACATGGTCGAACCCAGGGGAGAACCCGCACCTGCCCTGCCCACTCAGCCTCTCCCCCGTCTCTTCTTCCCCTCCAGGTCCGCTAGAGCGACATGATGGTGGAATCTGCCTCGGAGACAATCAGGTCAGCTCCCTCTGGTCAGAATGGCGTGGGCAGCCTCTCCGGGCAGGCCGATGGCGGCAGCGGTGCCGGGGCTGCGGGCGCTGCCGGAGGCGGTGCGGGCAGGGACGCGGCTGCGGGCGCTGACAGCAACGGCGAGATGAGCCCTGCGGATCTGCTGCACTTCCAGCAGCAACAGGTAAGAGCTGGCGCCCCTCCTCGGCCACAGAGGCATGCCAGGCCTCTGCCCACTCCATCCTGGCCACTGGCGCCACTGCTCCATGCCAGGCAGCTTCCCTTTATCCGTCTTGGGAAGGTCCAGCTCCCAGGGACGCCCTCTGTGCCCTCCGTGCTAGTGGCCACCTTCACCAAGGGGGAGCTGAGCCTTCCAGAGAAAGAAGTGGGACTCGGGGTCCTGTCATCATGGCGCTTTGGACAGTCTCAGAAATGCCCACCGGGACAGACAGACTAGGGAGGCAGGCCCGAGGGGTACCTCCTGGGTGGGCGGGTACCCGGGCGCTTCTGCACACTGGCCAAGCTCACAGGGTTGGGGAGAAGACCCTCCCTTTAGAAGTGTGTCCACTGGGGGGAGGGGGTGGGCACGTAGGGGTATCTCCACTCCGTTTGTATCGTAAAATAAGCCCCTCCCCTCCCCCTGACTCAAACTGTGATGAGATCAAACTTCCAGACACCAGAGGCCAAAGCAGCTGGGAAAAGGCCAAGAGCCAGAGGCAAAGGCCCGCCTCCATTTTCAGGGCTCAGACGGGGCACCCCTGTCTGTGTCTGCTTTCCCTCTCGCCCTCCATCATCCCCGCTCTGAGCGACAGAGTTCAGGAGTTCAAGACCAGCCTTTCTGTGGGTGGGGAGCCTGTTTGGGCGATGACAGAGCAGGGGCCCAGGTCCCAGCCCCACCCGAGAAACAGGGAGAATCTGCCTGACAAGCTCCGGAGAACCGGCCCAGCCAGCCCGGCTGGAGAGGCTCCTCTGGTTTGGCTCCCTGGTGGCACTGGCCCTCAGGGGCCCTGCTGGGAAGAAGGAAAACCCAGGTCCTGCCTGTCCTCCCACGGGGATCCCACCCTGAGGTGCGCGCCTGCAGGGATGTGTGTAGTGGCCCTCGTGCTGTCTCCCAGGTCCACCCTGGGGCTCCTCCCACTCCACAGCCCCTGGGGAGTGGCAGAGCTCAAAGGGCAAAATCCTACCCCCCACCACATGCCTGGGAGCCGGAGGTCAGCCTGGAGCAGCATGGCCAGAAGCTGGGCGCCCTGCACTGAGCTAGCTGGTCAGCCAGCACGGACACAGGAATGGAACAAACCCGGGTTAAGGCCGGGCCCACCCCTTCGGGTGACCTTTGCCAAACCCTGGGCCTCCCGAGCCTTGGCTTGTTAGGGTCCGATGCAGTTTAGGTGTGAAACCCCTGTCGCCAGGGGCTGTGTGGATGGGAACAGAGCTAAGGGCTTTAAAAGTCACTTCCTCTCACCAGCAATGGGAGCTGGAGTGGAAGGGGCGGCCTCCGCTCTCTCCCCAGGGAGGTGGGCCTTGGGAGTCTCCTGGCATCTCCCTGGCCTTCCTACGCGGGATCTCTGGGGAGAGACTGGGTGCCTGTGCTGTCTGCTGGGCACAGAGGTCAAAGGGCAAGATCCCACTCTACCAAAATAGTGACAACACACACCCGCCAGAAGGCTCCCAGGCCCCCCATTCTGTATGGCCAGCTTCCCCTCCCGCACTTCCATGCAGAATGGGGGGGGGGGGGGGGCGGCGTGGGCCGGAGAAATACTGAGACCGGGACCGTCCTTTAAAACGTGTCTGGAGTGAAGCGTGTGCACAGAACCCGGGTGGCGGGGAGGCACGGTGTGTGCTGATCAGGTTTCTCCGTCTGCACACGCATGTTTCACCCTCCGCGCTCCATGTCCCAGCTCTTCCTGTTTGTCTTGGGGAATGTCCCAAAGTCCTGGAAAATCCTATATCTGTTTCACAAATAAACGGGGGTGGAGGCTTAGAGGCGGGCGGAGGGCTGTTTTATCCATTTGGGCTCTATGGGCGCGGTGCCTGGGGCCAAGGAAAATATTTGAGACTTAAAAAGGTTTTGTTGGCTCCGAGCTACGAAAAGAGACCTGCAAAATTAAAAACCCGAAATGTGCAATTAAATAAGACCCGTCTGTAGGCCCTGCTCCCACCCCCCAATGTATGAGAGTGAGGTGTGGGGGGAGTTTCAGGGGTAACGCTTTCAAACCCCCCCCCCCCCCAAAAAAAAAATGTTCCGATTTGTGAGCTAAACCAACCATAGGAAGGAGAGCCTGGCCCCGTGGGCTCCTCCCTCTCAGTCCGAACCAGGAAGTCCTTCAAGGACAAACAAATACCTGTGTCTCTCGCACGGGTTGTGTCGTTTAGTCATCTGGAGGGAGGGGGGTAGATATTATTATTCCCGATCACAGGTGAGAGGGCAGCAAGAGGGGTCTCCCAGTTCCGAGTTCAGGGTTCAGCACGGCCTCCTTTTTGCTCCTGCCACGCACACAAGTCAGTCCCCTGTAGGAAATGGAGGGAGCGAGGCCTGCCACATAGTAGGTGCCACATAAATGTGTGTTGACCCATGATCGAGAGCACTCCATTCTCAAGCCTAGAAGGTCTCTTAAAACAAACAAACAGAAGCAGCACTGTCCACTGGCCCTAAGTAGCCACTTCAGAAGAAGGGAGGTTGGGGAGGAGGGGAGGCGGGTGGTGTCTGTGAGCATTGCGCTGGTCTGTCCCCTCTCCCTCTGTCCTGCTGTCTGTTGGTCCCCGTCCCTCCGCTCTGGGTAAACAAACCCTGGAAATGCAAGCTTGGCCTTTGGGAATAATGAGTTGACAGAGGGGAGAGAGAGAGATAAACAGGGCGAGTCAGAAGTCAGACCGGTGACAGGACTTTAGGCTGAAACAAACAGTGCTGGAGAGGGCAGCCACGTCGCTTTGGAATAAGAGCAGGCGCCTGTTTCCATGCAACAGCAGGCCGGAGCTTGTTTAAACAGAGGCCGGGGTGGAGGGGGGCGGGGGGAAACAGACACAACTTGGCTGCCAGGCCCCTCGGAGGGAGAGAGGGTCCCTGGCCGGCTGCCCCATGGAAGCAGTCAGGGCCCCAGCTCCCCCTCCCCCTCTCTCCTCCCAACACCCTTCTTGGTGAGTGCCAGAGCCATGCCACGTCCACTCTGCCCTTGGTCTCCAGTCCCCTCGCTCTGGTGGGAAAAGGGTATGGGGAGTGTGGTGGGCCTGGTGCACGCACTCCTTCAGCAGACACGCACTGTGCCTGAGGGTGCACGGGGCACCCTGCTGGCCGCTGGAGTGCATGACTCCCCAGCTGCTGTTACAGACCCAGCAGATGTGCCAGCTGCCCATCGGTCCTCTGCCTTCACCTAGGCCTGTGGTCGGCAAACTGTGGCTCGCGAGCCACATGCAGCTCTTTGGCCCCTTGAGTGTGGCTCTTCCACAAAAGACCACGGCCTGGGCGAGCCTATTTTGAAGAAGTGGCGTTAGAAGTTTAAGTTTAAAAAATGTGGCTCTCAAAGGAAATTTCAATCGTTGTGCTGTTGATAGTTGGCTTTGTGGACTGAGTCCTTCCTCATCACCCCCCTCCACACCCCCCCCCCCCCCCCCGATGGTTTCCCTTGCATGGCTTTTCTCTTGCAGGCTGCCCTTGCGTTTTATCCTAATCTGATTCACCTGCATGGAAGTGTTAATAAGTGTTCATATGGGGACCGCTCAGATCCCTCTGCTGGGGCTCAGTAAGAGCTGGGAGAATCTGTGCCAGCTTTTGGGAGGTGGGGGGCCTGGGGAGGTCTTGGGGCCCGATGGGCACTCTGGCCCAGGCGAGCGGGACTCGGGCAGGAGGGCTGAGCGGGCCCCGTGGGGGCCGCGGAGCTGCTGGCCGCCGCACTGAAAGGCGTCCGGGCCTCCAGAGCCGCACTCCTATTGTCCTCAGGTTGTGGGGGTGACAGGTCAGCGAGGGTCACAGGAGGGTTGCTTAGCGTCTGGGAACTCCCACTGCAGTTGCTGTGGCAACCGGGGCCAAATCCCACCCCGCGCACATCCTGTGGGGAGATTCAAAAGGGTTGGGAGAGGGGGAGCTGCACTTTAATGGGCTTTTAGCTCACCCCCCGCCAAAGAAATGGGGGTGTCAGGGAACGGGGTAGGGGCAAAGCGAAGAATGGAAGAGATTTCTCTTTTCCTTCTCCATCTGGCTCTCCTCTGCCCAAGCCACTCTGGGGGGGTGGGGCGGGAAGGAGAGGCCTCAGAGGTGAATTAGTGCTCCCCACCTCACACACTCTGTCTGCCATTGTCTTTACTTTTAGGCCTGGGGCTCCCTTTTTCAGTTTGTGGAACTCCCACCCTCAGGCCAGATTCTGCTCTTTCGTACATGGTCTTACACCTCCTTTCCTTCCCCAGGAGGTGCTGGAGGGAGTGTTGGGGCCCAGACTCCCCAGAGGGAGATTAGAAACTTCATGTTGATGAAGTCCCGTACTCTCAGCAGCTGCGGGGCCATGCTTAGAGAGTGCTCCTCCCTGCCCTGCCCGGAATGGGGGGCAGGTGAGTGAGGGGCTGGGCTTCCAGGACCAGCAGGGGAGAGAGCTGTAACCACCCCCACCCCACCCACACACACCCCGTTCTTGTGCCCGTTCCGGGTTACTCAGCTAAAGTTTCCTGTCTGCCTCCCAGTCCAAGGAAAGGGGAGGTCCCCTAGGGCAGTGGTCGGCAAACTCATTTGGTCAACAGCCAAATATCAACAGGACGACGACTGAAATTTATTTTGAGAGCCAAGTGTTTTAAACTTAAACTGTCTAAGTAGGTGCATTGTTATTAACTTCATTAGGGCATTCCTAAGCTGGCCTTTGCTAAAAACTCGAGGGGCCAAAGAGCCGCTTGTGGCTCTCCAGCCACAGTTTGCCGGCCACTGCCTAGGGGCGGGAGCTCCAGTAAGGGGGCGGGTGGAAGAGAGGGCCCGAGGCTGGGAGGGAACTCCAGGGCTCTGCTCTTTGGGAACCACGTAAGAGTCAACCGGCTCTACCAGCCTCCCTTCCAGTGAGACTTCTCTCTCCTCCCTCACCCCCTCACAGGGCAGAAGTTTGGGGCCGCGGAAGGGGGTGGAATGTTTCTGAGTCGAAGGCTGACCTGGGGAGGACCGCACTTTCAGAGCACCTCTCAGTGGGGAGCTAGCTTTCTCCTAGGGGAGCC